GCGTCCTTTAACGGCGCCGCTTTGAGTGTTCCTTTAAAAGCGTCCTTTACGGGCGCCGCTTTAAGGGCTCCTTCAAAGGCGTCCTTTATGGGGTCCCTTTAAGGGAGCCTTGAAAGGGTCCTTTAAAGGATTATGCAGGTTAGGGCTTTCGAAATCCGAGTACTTGATCTTAAGGGTTCTTTACGTTCCATAAAGGTTAAGGGTTTAGGGTTTAGGGGTTTAGGGTTTAGGTTTTTTGGGGGTTTCAGGGTCCGAAGGACCTATATCTAGGTATCTAGGGTTTAGGGTTTAGGGTTTAGGGTTTAGGGTTTAGGGTTTAGGGTTTAGGGTCTAGGTTTCTGTAGTAGTTTTGATGTGGGTGTGGTATTGGCCGAAAACAGCTAGCTCCAGCCTCTGCCAACCTTGGTCCATTCGTGTTCAACAAAACTTAACAGGCAGGTGGAAAAGAGGTTTCAAACCAAAGAACCCTAAACCCCTGAGCCCTATAAACCCTAAACCCTAAACCCCTGAGCCCTATAAACCCTAAACCCCTAAACCCTAAACACCTGAGCCCTATCAACCCTAAGCCTACTGAGGCTGCCCTGACTGGGGGTTCCATGTCCGGGTCTCTTGTTTCCCGAAGCTCCCTTCTTCGGTTGAGTTCGGGGGTGCAGGAGTGGAGATTTGGGGTTGAGGTTCAGCTTAGATAGCCTTATATGGGTTTAGAACCCTAAGCCCCATTCAAAAACCCTAAACCCTAACCTTTATGGGTTTAGAACCCTAAACCCCATTTATAGACCCGAAACCCTAACCCTTTATGGGTTTAGGGTTTAGGGTTGAGTGTTTAGGAACCCAGGAGTCCCTCTGTAAAGGGATGTTGCCGTAGACGTTGTTAGGACCCTTATAGGGTTTAGGGTTTAGGGTTTAGGGTTTAGGGTGTAAAGGGATATGGCTGATAGCATCTAGCGGACATTCCTTGGGTGCAAGCTTATGGCTTCTGGGTATTCTGACAAAGGGATGCCTTCCAACAGCCCCCTATACTACCTATAGTCTCCATTGTAGTTCCGTTTTTGGTTGATCACTTTTATGGTTAGGATCCTAATATATATATATATATATATATATATTATTTATTTATTTATTTATTTATTTATTTATTTATTTAACCAAAAAGGGAACTACGATGGAGACGATAGGTATAATACCCAGGCCCTCGAAACCTAATCCTTCAAACACCACCTGTAACCCAAGCGACCTACTTTTGTTAAGTGGTGAGGTCTCACCATAAGAAAGAATGTTGACATGTGTGACCAGAGGGTCCTAGGCGAACCTGAGGCACTTAAACCCCAAACCCTAGACCCTAACCTGAGGCACCAGACTAAAGGATCGTAGGTAAGCCTGAGGCCCTTAACCCCTAAATCCTAAACCCTAAACCCTAAACTCTAAACCCTAAGCCCTACTGGTCAGAGGGACCCCGGCTTCGGCTTGGTTGTAAGCGGGACGAAAAGTTCACCGTTTCAAGGTGCGGCTTGGGCTTTTGCCCTGGCTGCCACTCAAAGTTTAGGGTTTAGGGTTAAGGCACTCAAAGTTTAAGGTTTATGTGCCCCCTTTTAGTGCCTCTAAACTCCAAGCCCTCGATCCAGGACATTTTCAGGGGGTAGTTACCGTTATAGGAGCCTCATAGAAGGTCTTTATACACTATGGAAGCCTTATAGAAGCCCTATATACCCTAAACTCCCCACCTGTAGTTTCCTTCGACTTAACCCTAAACTCAAAGCCCTTAACCCCAAATCCTAAACCCTAAACCCCTAAACCCAAAGCCCTCAACCCCAAAACCCTAAACCCTAAACCCCTGAACCCAAAGCCCTTAACCCAAAACCCTAAACCCTAAACCCCTAAAGCCAAAGCGCTTAACCCAAAACCCTAAACCCTAAACCCCTAAACCCAAAGCCCTCAACCCCAAACCCTAAACCCCTAAACCCAAAGCCCTTAACCCCATCGTATCAACCCAGGACTGGATGGACAAGCTGGAACAGGCCATGCAACTCGGCCCACCAGGTCCAGGTTGGTAACCATAAACCCTAAACCCTAAACCCCTAAACCCTACACCCCTAAGCCATAAACCCTAAACCCTACACCCCTAAACCCTAA